ATTAACATTAGCATGACACTCGCATCACCCTGCAAGTCCCCTATCGCCTTGTCCCCAGTGAGCCCATTATCTAAAGATCTTGCAGGCCTGGATTGGAGGGCTCATTGCACCTACGAAGGGGCTTTTAATTAGCTGGCATTATGGGATGGCACTTTAATGAGGTTGTATCGAGATGTTTATTCCACTAAAAAACCGAAAGCAGGACAGTTTGAGAGAACAGAGTAATTTCAGCCCCAATAAAATGAATGTTAAACTTTTTGATGAGAACAATAATGACTCAAAGAGCATGAATAGGGCTCCAATATTGCATCATTAAGATTTTATTTCCAAAAAATAGTCTCCCTGCCCAATCTGCCTCCAATCAGTACTCCCAGAGACCACGCCCCGCAGTACCCGGGTGCGAAACACACCTTCCTCACTTCCCCGAATCAGTCTACGGGAGATTAAGAAGCTTTCATTGAACTAGTATCTTCTATGCTTACTAAGCAAACCCCTCGCTGAACTGTAGCTAGTATTCCTTGTTGCTTATTGATGAGTTCTAGTTTTCTGAATCTTCAGACCCTGCGTTCAGATATTTTCCTTTTTAGATCACACTCTCCATCTATTGTTTTGCTTTAAACCTCCACAGCAGCTTGTAATGCGTATGGAGATTGGTTAGGTTACACTGCAGTACGACCAAGACGAGCAAAAAGGATGCACTGATTAATGAATGACCTCCGATTGCCGGTTGACACTTAAATTACAGTCTCTGTTTAATAAGTTTGTAAATGAACAGGGAATCCAACGCACTGGGAAGCTGCGGATTAAGTGGGAAGCTGGTGACACCTGATTAACGGGGCTATGAAGAGATATAAGAAGGAGCTGCTTTGTTTAGCATCCTAAGTGTTATGGGAGCAGATATAATTCCAGCATAGTAAATTTGAAAGGATGGAATTGATAAACCTTCCCCATATTCTTACCACTGCAGGAGGCCCATACATGGAAATTGTATGAATAGATATCAACACACATCAATATTAATAATGGGATCTTCACCTAAATCATGCATGGATTTATAAGTGTTTCTGTAGAGCCGGATGCACACCATCCCACTGGTTTGCAATGGAAATCCATCACAACTGCGCACCATTCTCACAAAATGTGCAAATAGTTCTTGTCAACTATCCCATAATCTATCGTCTCACTGATGTCCTCGTGATCTCTACGTCTGTCCTAACGAACCATGGGCACCTCATGCCTCCTTCCAACAGGCCAATAATACCAGACTCTGGCCTTCAGTAACCTCATCCCTTTCCTTCCCTTTGGGGGACGCCAACACATACAGAGGCAATCATCATCATGACATAAAAGGACATAGCAGGGTACCCCACCACTCAATGAGTGTCAGTGATGTCATGTGATTAATGTCGCATGACCCCCCCCCCACTCGCACCCACTCATTCCATTCTAATGCTTACGCTCAGAGTATTAATGGGATTCATACTCCAGTATTATTTACATATATGGAGATGGGGAAACATTCCCATTATCCAGGCAGGTGTGTAACAATGCACAGCATTATATTTACGCAAGGTGAATGCCGGTGTCTTAAAGGCACAGTACACTTTTTCTTTCCTGCTACTCTGTTCTGTTCTGAGTCCTTCTTTTCATGCTACCTTATTAAATCCAGGCGTTATTTATGCAGATGAGATACATCTCCGTCTGATTTCACTCATGAAATGTTAATGTATTCAGGGAGAAATTGTACTTCTAATCTCTGATGAAATGCACGTTGATACGAAGCAAATTCTCTTCCTGTTACAAAAATAAAACGCTGTAGTATTTTAGCATTAAAATGTATTTCTTTGTATCTTATTTACACCTGAATCATTTTACAGGAAGCTCTGTAGCCAAAACACCTTCACTACAAACTGTAACTTAAAAGAAACAGGATCACATGAATAACAGACTGCAAATGCAATGTGTTTTTTGGAACTAATTGAAATGTTTAATTGTAATTTCAGTTGAAATTTGTTAGTAATTTGTTTAATTAGCATTCCCATTGGTTTATAACAAAATGTAATGTTTTGTCATGTGACACCTTCCGGCTATAGTGGGGTATTGTTGCTATGGTCCATGACCACACAAAGTCATGGAGAGTCGGAGGACTCTCATGTCACCCAGTGGGTGGCGCTTACTGGAAGGGTTGGTCACCCCATTGCCCTGAGGAGCTGCATGTCACAGTGAGGAAGGTTCCGGTCATCTCCATGTCCATGGGGCAGAGTAACGCAGTGGTCAGGCAGAGCAGGATGCTGGGAGAGACACTGGAATGCATTCCTCCAAGCACACATGCCTGCTGTTACCTCCAGCAGGTTGCTATGCAACAGCAACACAGAGCCACGGCGATGCGGAGACGCATCATAGCTGCAGCTCAGCAACCGACCGCGAGCCGAGAGGCACCTTCTCCGCCACTCCCTGGACAGTATGACTGCCCTCACCCCTGCAGCTCCCCCTGGAGTGATTGGAGCAGAGCTGGAGTGACTGCATGTGCCGGCAAGAGTTCATCTCTGATAACACAGTCGGGTGGGATGTAACAGTCAGGAGCCAAACGCACCAAGAGACGTTTATGTGCTTGTTTTTGGCTGATTGTCCCTCGTTACGAGCCCAGGAAAGGCAGCTTGCAGTGAAGTCCTCATCCTGAGGAACAGCCCTTTGTGTTTGTCCACAGCTGTCCACACCTTTGTCAGAGAAGTTTCTAGACTTTTTTTTTTTTTTTTAACAATGCAACGATGCTGAGCCTATTTTTCTTACACACAGAAAGTAAAATTTACATTTAGAATGAGAAAGGTATTTGCATGGCTTAAAAAAGGAAGAACGGAGGCATTAAGCTTATTGCAAAGAAAACGACAGGGAAATTATGGGATGAGACATTCAAATGCATGCAGCACAATGAGCAAATGGCACTTTTCAAATCTGTTGGCAATTGTGAGGTTAATTTAATTCAAAGAAGGACCAACTGAGCACTTGGTAAGGTAGGTGACGTTTGGTTGGAGGAGAATGCATAGATTCTCCCATAATACACCAACCACCACACACAGCCTAGATCAATCTGCCCCCAACCCCCAGATATTATTTTGAAGCCTCCCCACTACCCTGCTCTATTTCCAAAATGACTGTGATGTTTGTTAATTCAGTTCATCATTTTTTTGTCCACGCTTCACCTCCAAAATGACCAATCAAGTTTCATATTTCGCAATTTGATCTGTAAAATCGACAAAGCAGGACAAAGGCTATAAGCTGTTATCACGCTGAAGAAAATCTAGTGTTATTAAAAAAATAATCAGCTGGTTCAAATCGTCACCTTTCCTCATCCCTGTTATGCTTTGGCCATGAGGAACTGTCAGATCTTTCCGGTAATCGTAGAATCCAGTGATTAATTCTCTAACGTCAATTGCTTGTGAAGTGCTGCCCTTGTTACCCCCACAGTGAGATTATTCACTCCGGTTTGTCTGGCATAGGTGCAGCTTAGCAGAGTGTGAATCACATTCAGGTGAAGCTCTCAGACGGCGTCATCTGACATTTAACTGGCGCGATTTCACCGAAGGGCTTTCGAGGTGCTGCGCCTCAGCCCCGCCTCCAGCTCCAAGCTGTCAGGTCAGGGGGAGACGTCCTTGATGTTTGGCTCCCCCTCCGAAAGCCGCCCTCTCAAGCTACAACTATTTCTGCCCCGAGACGGAAAATGATCTTGAGTGAGACTGCATCGACTTCTGACTTCCCTCTTTTCATAAAAATCTACAAATGGAAAACAGAATGAAAATGTGCCCCATTGTGAGAAGGACCAGAGCTGGACATCTCGCAGTCCTGCAGACGTTAAACCGATTCTGCACCCATTGCATCATCCCTCAGGAATTCCAGGGTTTTTTTATTTATTAATGATATAATAACCCCCCCCTCCCCCCCTTCATTAATTCTATAACCACTGATCCAATTAAGGGTCACGGTGAGCTTGGAACCTATCCCATGATGCACTGGGTGAGGTATGTCATATTGAAAACATATTTTGACTGCGGTTGACATTGAGAGGAAGAAAAATGAAACTACAAAGCAGGCTGCCCTTCATCATCCTGAGGGAGAGAATGATGTAAAGCCGTCAGGGGGGGGGGGTCCTGAATGGGGGTGCGCGTACGGTGCACTCCGTAGGCTGACACGCTCTCTATCTGCCCATTAGAGATGCTACAGACAGGCATGATGGGAAATAGTCCATTTCCCCAGCCGGGGCGAGGGGGGCTGGCAGCGTGAGTGACGTGTTTACCTCCCGGGATGCTCCAGCACGGCGTCCGTATTTACACGCCTGGCAGGCAGGGAGGCCGCGTTCCTCAGCACCCGCCTGGCGTAGGGTTCAAAGCGAACGCCGAGAAAGAGCGAGGGTGAGGAAGAGGAGCGGCTGGCGGGACGCGGGATGAGAAGGAGCCGCCAGGGACACGGGACGTGCTGTACCGCGGATGGGTCCCCTGCTTCCCGCGACCTCCACGATGCCACAAAGTCTGTTCTGGGGCATTGCTGTTGTACCTTGTGAGGGACAGAACTTGCTTAGGATGGGACATTCAGCAAACATTAACACCTGTCTCTCAGAAGCGCGGAATGAGAGGATTATCTGTCTGAAAGGGACCCGCATTTGTTTAATACCTGCACTTCATTTGCGCTACGTGCAGAGGAAATCGAGGCCCGGATTCTCAAACAGAGCGAGATGAGTTACGCAACTCTGTGGGTCTTTTTTTGGAAAAAGGGGTTGTGTAAGAAATGGAAAAGGGTCGCATTTAAATATCTCAGTGTGAGATAAGGACAAATGTCACAGTGACGCAGGCGAAGCAGATCAGAGCCCGATACAGATTGGCAGAGGTGAGGCCATGAGTTTCTGGCACTGCACTCACACTGTGCAGTTTTCTTTCCCTTTAACTGGCACATTTAACCATGTGCTGGTCACATGATGAGGAAGTGATCCCTCTGTGGTCTAACAAACTGTTACAAGCCAGACGCGGTGGTTGATTTGGGGAGGGGGGTAACATTTGTCTCGGAGCGGAGCGTGGGAGCGACGCATCCTCTCTCGCAGCTGAGGCCCTCGAAGCGCCCCCCAGAGGCTGTGGCAGTTTCCTGTCTGTGTGTATTTTTAGCAAGGCCCATTCTCATCTCGCAGCTGCTTCAGGAAGCGCCCCGATAAGGGTCCTCGGCCACGTCACACAGAAGATGAAACTGGCTGTCTCCCACATGCCTACAGTAAGACTGAGTACGAACTATAAATGTGCAATTGAAAGAGATGTACGTGCATTTAGATCCAAATGAAGGAAAACAAGAATTTAATATGGTCATTCACTGAGGGGCTCATTCGCTCCAAAACCACATGACTGTTGCTTATACGTCACCAGTTTGTGTTTTTATGCTTCATAATCAGTCTCTGGTTTGGTTTTCATTACTTGTGATTTTGTTTATTATTCTGGATAATTCTGCTGCTGCTGGCAGCATACTGATACTTGATGACACCCAGTTTGAGCACGAGTAATTCAACTGGTCAGATGATGATATGTAACAGAGCATGACTGGCTGGGTTGGTCTGGCACAGACTAAGACTAGATGTGATGATGAGAGAGCAGTACTGTTTATGCTGCTGGATACCAGACCGGGATTAGCAGTGCTGATGGGTGCAGACCCTGCTGATGGTCGACCTAGACCATTCACAGGTCTAGCTCACCAGACCATTCCCTCTTGAGTCAGAGGTCTGTGTTTCTTTATGCATCATTCTCTTATTTATAGGAATTCCTCTTGACGTAGGGTTAGACCTCACCTCTGCCAAACAGTCTCATCCCATAACCTGTGTGCATAAGGGAAACGCCCTTTCCCCCCTGAC